GGGACGCTGGGCCCGATTTCCAGCAGGTGCTGCTCCCCTCCAATAGATGGAGCCTCCCCGCTGATGCTAGTGGTGTCTGCTTTTATTAGCACCCCTAGCAGCCGCTCGGGTTGACAGAGAGGGGACATCTTAGCTATATCCTGGTAACTCCCTTCCTTGATTGCCCTCCCGCCACTTGACCGACTCGAAATTTTGGGGGCATGCCATCAAGTCTACCCCCGCTCGAAATCGGGCTCTTTCTATTCAGTCTTTCTTCGTTCTAGTTCTCTTTTTCGTAATTCTCTGTTTCTCGTAGCTCTTAGTTTCTTTTAGATGTTGTCTTTAAAGTCTTAGGAGTATCACAGCAATAATGTGGAAGGTCACGGACGCCAAAAGAGAAGAAAGAGAGGATTCCTAGGGGCAAGAGGAGGAAGAGGAGAAAGAAGAAGAAGAAGAAGAAGGAAGAGGAAGAAGAAGAAGAAGAAGCTCCCGCCAAAACCAACGATTAATGCGTTGCCGATGCAGATTTGTGATCAGAGGTGTGCGTTGCTCCGCTAGTCTGCGTCTTCCTAACCCGGTCTTCCTCCCCCTGTCTTCCTCCGTTTCTAGAAACTGCTCGTCAGTATTCCAAACCCTGTTGTGACTACAAGTCCATCGATCATCATCCGATCAATGACATCGTTCATGCGCAGGCGTGTGTGGAATACTCTAACATTCTTCTTGATTCGCGCCTCTAGAGACTAGAATTACTACTCTTTTGTATCGGATTCTGTCTGCAAAAAGCGACCTGCAGCTAGGTAGTGGTTCGTAATGACCAGCAGGACAACTCGCTCTCACGTGTCGCTCGCCTAGAGATAGTAGAGAATGATATGCCGCCGTCTGTTGTTCCCTGACAGACCGAAGCAATCAGTCTGTGGACCAAGCAAAAGTCAGTAGACATCCATGCACAACCGGTAGCACAGAAACACAAAGAGGTAGTCTGAGCGAAAGGATCAGGAGCTGCAGAAAGAAAAGAACATACGACGCCGGGGAAAACCAAACTCTGAAACGCAACCGAAGCACGAGCCGGCGGCAGCGGCGGCGGCAGCAGCAAAAGAAGAGGAAGAAGAAGACGGAGGAGGAGGAGGAGGAGGAGGAAGAGGAGCAGCAGGAGGAGATAGTGAAAGATTGTAAAGGGCAAAGAGATGATCTGGATAGAGACAGAGATCGGACGAGGGGTAGAAGTAGGAGGGAGCTTTAACTATGGAGGATTTCTTCTGGCAGGTCTGCTCTGCCTTCTGACGTCCTGGTATCTGTTCTACATTGTGCGGCGGCTTCCTGTTGGTGTCACTCGCTTCATTGCCTCGCTGCCAGTTCTGGTCACGTACGGCTACCTGCCGCTCATTTTCGACAGGCAAACGCATGCCCTGTGGATCCTGATGCTGTCTGGTATACTGACTTGGGCGGCATCTTTCAAAGTGGTGATGTTCTGTTGGGGTTTCGGGCCATTACTCGTTCCCAATCCCCCGCCCGCGGTAGACAGCAACTTCTGGATTTTCACCGCCGTTCTCTCGAGCCCCATCCGCGTTCATCCTAATCCCATCAAAAGACGATGTGCAGTACCATCAGCAGCAGCGGCAGCAGGAGCCGGAGGAGGAGGAGGAGGAGGAGGAGGAGGAGGAGGAAGAACAGGAGGTACGTTGTCAGAGTTCCAACGAGAGGGGGAATCAGCAACAGCGACAGGAACTGGTACAGCGAATTGGAGAGCGGTAGAGAGAGAGGAAAAGGTGGGGAAGTGGACGGAGCTGGTGACACGTAGCACTGTCCGACTTGCGATACTGACAGTTGGCGTGATTGTACTCGCGGATTACAAGGAGAGACTTCCTAGACATTTCTTCATGCTCCTGTACGCATTTCTGCTCGATAAATCCCATGAACTGGTGGAAGAAGTGGTGGGAGGGCTAGTCGCCTGCACGCTCAAGTTGCAGCTCCTACCAAGTGTCGACAAACCTCTTTTATCCACGTCACATAGCGACTTTTGGGCCCGAAGATGGCATCTTACAGTTGGCGCCCTCTTGCGTGAATCCGTGTACGATCCACTTATTCTGTTATTAGATAGCTTCTCCTTACAGTCATGTTCTTCCCCTCTCCCTCCTCCTCCTCCTCCTCCTCCTCCTCCTCCTCCTCCTCCTACTCCTACTCCTACTCCTACTCCTCCTCCTACTCCTACTCCTACTTCTACTCCTATTGGGAGCGATTTGATCTATCGCAAGGATACAGAAGAGAGAAGAACTGCGGGATGGAAGGAAGTGGAGGATGGCTGTGAAGGGACGTTAGCTCCTTCGCTGGCACTGGAAAGCTCAGCCATGGCGGATTCGAACAGCTGCAACTCAGGTTTGAATGCCCTGTGTGAACCAGTTAAAAGGAAAAAGGTAGAAACGACCAGTCAGCAGCTGACTTCTGTCAATAACTCAGGGGTCAGGTCTCGCCTTTGTTGTCATCTACAGCGGAGGGTAGAGGTAGAGGAGGAGAAGGAGGTGGTGAAAGAGAGAGAGGAAGAGGAGGAGAAGGAGGAGGTGAAAGAGAGAGAGGAAGAGGAGGAGAAGGAGGAGGTGAAAGAGAGAGAGGAAGAGGNGTGAAAGAGGGAGAGGAAGAGGAGGAGAAGGAGGAGGTGAAAGAGAGAGAGGAAGAGGAGGAGAAGGAGGAGGTGAAAGAGAGAGAGGAAGAGGAAGAGAACTGGGAGAGAATGGGGCAGGGCGTCATCCATAGTCGAACACGAAAAAGTGATGCCGATCACCATGATGATGGAGGACATAGCGATGGTGGATATGGCGATGGGAATCGGGAAGCGGACGAGAAGAGGAAAGGCTTACGGACGCCTGTAATTGCTCGTATGCTTGCGGCTATGGCAGTCTTCTTCGTCTCCGGTGGGATGCATGAGGTCATGTTGTGGTACGCGTCTGGGACTGCGACGTGGCAGTTTGCCTCGTTCTTCTGGCTCTGTGGAGTTGTGGTCTGCATCGAGTCCGGATTACGTAAAGTCCCTCGCTGGCGAGCTGTGAACCTTCCTCGTCCTCTTGCGATCATGTTGACCATCGGGTCACTCTTGGCTATGGCGGACAAGCTCTTCTTTCCTCCTCTTGCCCGGACAGGTCTCGACGTAGTGGCCATACATCAGTCGCGGGAGGTCCTGTACCGATTGCTGAAAATCTGAGTGAGAATCTCTTTTACATGAATTTCTTGCGCATGAAGTATTTTCTGTTTTTTTTTTTTTTTTTTTTTTTTTTTTTTTTTTAGAACACTTGGTGAGCTTTTCCATAGTACCTGTTGATGTAGGACGCCTTGAAATTCTCCACATTTGGCGTATCTTCAGATGGCTTAGGGTAAAACTTGTAGAACCTCATATTTTCCAATGATTCCCTCGATTCCCTCATTTCGGGCGTCATGTCTTCAATGGCCTTCTTCCTTGCCTCCTTGGCTTCTTTCGCCTTTCGCTTGGCCGCGTCGACTTCATTGGGGACGAAATTAGCGAACTCTTTTCTGTACTTGTCGTCCAACGCTCCCTCGTCGATCTTGTCCTGCACGAACTCGTCCATTTCGTCGAACTCCCAATCGAAGTCGCAGATTATAGGTGGGACAGCGCCTCCATCCACCTCAAACAGGATGGACACAACCGTGTCAACTTCCACCTCCTCCTCTTTCATCGGCTGATAAATGTATGGCAAGCAGTACTCGGACTTCTTGATCCGCTCCTTCTTCAGCTGTTTCAAAGCAGGTCTCCTCTGGGTGCACTTGAGGGTAAAGATTTGCGTCTTCACGCGCTCGATGGGCTTGAACTCGTCCTCCTCCGGCACGTACGGCGCCCATCCCATCTTCATTTCCTTCATGGGCACGACCATCTCCTCCTCCATCTGAATGGACTTTATGCCGATTTTATCCGACGGCGGGAACGGAGAAGTGACGGCCACCACCGCGGGAATGTGAATGACTCGAGACTTGTCCTTATAATGCACGAGTTGAGGCTCCGTGCAGCCGAACAGATACACCTTTTGCCCATGAAGAGCTCCTCCCTCGTCGAAAGCTTCTTCCAAATGCGAGAAGTCCCAGTCATACTGGAACACTGAATCGTATTGGTCCCACTCCGTGCCAACCATATGCGTCTCCTTCCATGAACTGTCCACATCGTCAGACACAGAGATGCAAAACGCCAACGGCAGAAAGAAGAAGCACCTCCTCCAGAATCGCACCAACCGCCAGTATAAGCAGCACAAAACTCGCGGAACGAACCCGAAATAGACCAAGCCACCAACGCACACACACACACACACACACAAATGCAGAGAAAAAGCCGAAGAGAGATGATACAAGTGAGACAGATGGTGTGAATGTGAAAGCAGAACCAAAGCTAATAGCATCTCACGAGCGATTTTCAACTTTCATTAAACTTCAATAATCAGGTAACAACAGCAGCACACGAGGTTCCGCGTCGCTCTCCCCGATATCTCTCTTAGGGCACGCTCACACTGGGTACCAAAACCGTAAAACGCCGAAAAAAATGTGCACACGGCTGGTCACACACAATGGTTCCGACCCCAAACACCCCATTCGCAAACCCATTTGTCAGTGGCCTGCCTGGCCGCGGGTTTGAGGTATTTTCTGTTTTTTGGCCTACCTTTTTTTTTTTTTTTTTTTTTTTTTTTTTTTTGTAAGGCTAATTCTGTCATGCCTGGGACTCGTGGAGATAAATTGGAAAATTTGCAGAACCTTGATGATGCCAGATTGCTCAGAAGTGAGTCAAAGAGTTGGGGCCGCAGGCCCACACACCGCGGGAATATCAAGGGTGGGCGGGTCCGCTTCACCAAGATCTGGCGAGGAAAACAACTCGGCCTCTGAGCGAATCTGGTGCTCGTTGTGTGCCTGCAGGTTCGCCTACACGATGGGCGCAGCAGCCGGCGGACGAAATCCTGAAGACGCTCCGCGTGAGACGAGCCAACCTGCTGTGACCGGTCCTATGCCGGTTACATATACTCTTGCAGCGCCCGGATCCAGTGGCGGTCGGTCTTCCGAGGGACTCCTTCCCGCAGGGTGAGTTCCTATATTCCTTCCTTTGATCTTGGTTCCGCTACTCTCAGCTGTGGATTGCCGAAAATAGAGAATTACATCTTCTAGAAAGTAGGCCCGTTGTTGCAAACTGAAGATCTGCGGATTAGAAACCTTGAAGTGGTTGAATCTTGAGGTGACTGGTGGGACCCCGTGCGTGTGACAGTTGCTGTAACTGAACCCACCGAGTAGGTACCAACTGAAAGAGGTAGAGTAGGACAGTTGCTGTCTGGGACTCGTCGAGATAAATTGGAAAATTTGCAGAACCTTGATGATGCCAGATTGCTCAGAAGTGAGTCAAAGAGTTGGGGCCGCAGGCTCACACACCTCCTAGACCGCCCCAAAATCCCTCCATCATCCCACAAGTGACGTGTCATCTTGCAGGGAGTGGTGGAACGAGCGGATGAGTGATGGAAGCTGGCGGCAGAAGCGAGCGACGACGGAGATAATAGGGAGTTATCAAGCTGGATTAGAGTGGAGCAGTAAGCTAATAGAGGAATTCGGGCCGGGGAAGCGATGGCGGAGTGGAATGAAGAAGCTGTTACTTGGGTTGAATGAGTGGTTAGAGCGGAATGGAGTGGGCAGGAGCTGTATGACATGCAATGATTTGGATATTATATCCTTCTTAAGTAGTCGGTGGTTAGTGGAGATTGAAAGGTGTCGAACTACTGATAGCGATGGCGAACCAATGGTATCTCCGTCCACTGTGGATGTTGTAGTGAATTGCTTGAGTGGTGCGTTCAGATTGCTTGGTAGTTAGGAAGTAGATGATCCTTGCCAGAGTAGTCGTGTAAAAGCATTTCGGAAAGCGTACCGGGAGTAGGGATTGGCTCGGGGGGTCGTAGAGGAGTCTGGTCGACCATTAGTATGGGAGAAATTGAAGATTGTAATAGAATATATAAGGAACAAAATAAAAATATTGAAGTGGATGCGAGAGGCAGAAGCTTATCGGGATGCATCTATGTTCCTCTACCTATGGGAGAGTTGGCAACGGTGCGGGGAGAGTTTGCGATTGCAATATAAAGAGATTGATGTTGGTAATTGTCTAGTTCGTCCTGGATATACTAAGACGGACCGATACGGTGGCCAATTTTTGATACGTTTGAAGAAAGTTGATGATGGTGAAGAGACCTGTATGCGAATTCTACCGGAGTTAATAGTTGTATATGAGCGACTCGGGTTGGATTTGCGATTAGGTTTTCCGTTCTGAGTTGGTCGGGGAGTTAATGCACTTGGAGGTGGGACTTTTAATAAGCGGGTTGAAAAGTGGTTTGGAGAGGCGGGGGTTTATGAAGGAGAGAGTGGTCATAGCTTCCCGATTGGTGGTTTGCAGGCAGGGATAGAAGACGGATGGAGCTTAGGAGAGATGATGCGGCAAGGGACATGGAGCAGTATCGAAACGTTTATGCGATATGGATATGGAGTAAAGAGAAGGTGGAAGCGTAGTGGCGGTGCTGGCGAGGAGAATGTGGGAAATGTCGAAAAGGACTAAGTGGTAAAGAGAATGCAGGAAAGGTCCATGGTAGCCGGATTCTGGCAGGAGTGGTGAACGCGCGGGCTTGGAATACATGAGTAAGGAGATTTGGGAATGATAAATTTACGGAAAACTTTGAGAGATAGGATGCGAGGTAGCCAGTTAGCTTTGCGCGTGTCTGGAAAAAAGAGATAAGAAGCGGGTGCAGAAGACGCAAGCGTTAAGGTTTCATGAATCAAGGAAGTTGGCGGAAAAAGTCATCTATAGGGTGATTTCAGTAAGAAATTTCAATCTAAAGATAGGGCATCCACGAAAGATGCTGATGAAGACCAAGTTCTGGAAATAAATATAGGGCAAGCATGATGGTAGTCTGATGCGAAGAGATCAATTCCGGGTGATCCTAACGAGTTAAAGATGATTTTCTTGAGGTAAGACGAGATGCCCCAATCGGTATTGTCATGAGTTTTGGATAAATCATCCGCGATTTGATTGAGATTCCTAGGAATCCATACTGAGAAAAGACAGGTATCATGAGAAATGAGAAGTGATGAGATTAAGCGGAGCCAATGGTTAAAAAGAGGATCAGTGGATCGTAAATTGCTGAGTAAGACAAATAGAGATTGGTTGTCTGAAAGGAGTCTGATAGCGGAGGAAAAGAGAAGGTGAGGGTGCGATTTTTGTAGGAGAAGAGTTTGAAGAACTGCGAACAGCTAGCGATGAGTGGACGAGGTGGAGAGGAAGTTACTTGGCAGACATTGATTGAAGTGAAGTGACGTTCCCGAGGATGGAACGATAATTGCTTCAATCTTAGTAGCAAAAGCATCTGTTGAGATGACAGAGGATATTGTTTTTTTTGTCCAAAGACGGCTGGGAATGAGGGGTAGCTGATCTACCCACCAGATAAGATCTCGGATCAAGGAGTATGTAATGGGTACGGGAGAATCCCGATTGGAGGGGGAAAGAGCTTTGTAAATGGAGGAAGTAAAAAAAGGCTTGAGATAGTGAAGCGAGCTTTCCCGCGAGTTTAGCTAAGGTTCTACTTGAGGGGTTAGTGGACGTAGTTGAAGAGATGAGTGTCAGAATCCTTTCATCCTTGTCATCTGGGACTTTGATTCTCTTAGAATGAGAGTCGATCGTAAAACCCAAAAATCTGATAGATTGAGAAGGCAGAAAGGAACATTTGCTAAGGCTTAGGAAAAAACCTAAGTTGTGAAGTAATGCGACATAATTGAAGGATTACCAAATTAGTAGGGGAAGGTTTGAGTTTGCAAGGGCAGAGTCGTCTATATAAGAGGTAACCCAGATATGGCGGAGACGGAGTTCCGCCATGATTTCCTGTATTATGGTAGTGAAGATCTTGCATGATAGCGTCTATGATCGGGATGAACAAGAATATGATAGTACTCATTTTTAATGTCAAAACAAGTTAGAAAATATTGAGTTTGAGAGCCTGAAAGAGGTGCAACCAAGTCATTAATAGTTTCATAGTGGAAGTCTGGAAAAGAAAGAAAAAGGTTGACAAATCTGACGTCAAGGATGAATCTGGTTTTGGATGAGCTTTCAATAGCGAAAACTGGGTTGATAACTATAGGATTTGTAGAATGCTTGATGACATTAGAGGAGAGAAGCTAAGAAATCGAAGAAGAGATAAAGTCTCCGTGGTGGGGAAGCAAGTTATGGTTTGGAATTGAGGTTGGAGGGCGCTTTTCACATAAGAGAGCTTTCTTGAAAACGGAGGCTGAGTACACTTTTTTGACTATATGCCTGACTTCAATAATCTTCTTAACCGGAATATGCTTAGTTTCGATGAAATTGAATTTGATTCCATGACGAATTCATTGGAGAACTGAATAAGAATATCTTCTAGAGGATGAGGAGAGAAGGAGTGACCAATTACTAAAGTAATGTGAAATGGAGGCGGCAAAGAAACAGTCTGGATTTCGAAGCCAGGCAGAAGGTTCCTAAAGTGCGAATGTAGCGAGTCTAAGTTGCGAAACTGTGGGAGGAGAAGAAAAATTTCATAGAATTTAAGGAATGGAAGGAATATGTAGAGGGGGCGAATCAGTCAGTGTGCTTGGAAGGATCTGCCGACGAAGATGAGGGGAAGCTCTTGGAATCCGAGTCGAGGTGAGGACGCTTTGAGGAGCGATTGAAGTCATAGCCCCTTTCCGATTTTTCATCATAATGTCGTTTTGAAGTCGATTTCCTTAGGTCATCCGATCTGCTGAAATTGTCTTTCTTCCGGCTGGAGGATGAGTCTGATTTCGACCTGTGTCGTCCCCCATACGTCGTACGGGGGGTCTCCGTACGGCCCGTACGGACAAACGGACGTACGCCCGTACGGGCGTACGGACGATAGCCGTACGAAGGTGTCCCAGGGGCAAAACAAAATCGAAAGAATAAATAAAAAAATATGGGGACATCTATAACCCCATTTTTTTTTTTCGATTTTTTGGCCTCAAACAGGATTTTTAAAAAATCGGGGAAAAAAAAAAAAAAAAAAAAAAAAAGGAAAAAAAAAACTTTGG